TCACTTCATCAACTGTGCACATTTTCTGACCGTTTTCATCTATTGATAGGTATAAAAGACTTAGAAGATGCACATTTAAATTCATTTTTATACATTGTGTTATGTTAAATGTTACTCATGTTATATGTAACTTGTGTTATATGTTACTTGTGTTATGTTATATGTTACTTGTGTTATGTTATATGTTATTCATGTTATCTGTTACTTGTGTTATGCTATTAAATCAATATGATTTAGAACTAGTATTTGTGGTATACAATTAAAATCGAACATAATTCTATCTATTTCAAATCAAAAATTTTTATGGGGCGCATAAAAGTTTTGTAATAATAATATTAAAACATAAGATATAATGCTAAAAATATTAACAAAAATACAAGGCGAGAGTATGATAATCTAATGCTCTTGTTCTGGAATGGAGGAGGGAGGGTTTTGTAGAATGAATGAGATTTATTTTCTCCACTCTTTGTAATCTGGAAAATATTACGATATTTGGTGCATGAAGACATTGATATTGCTTGATCTAAGCAAACCAGATTTTAACACTTACCTGTGCAAAACCAATACTTAATGGACTCTTCCTGACAAATAAAAAAGAAGTTCCATTTAGTTTAATGATGTTTCCTTATTTAGAATAATGACAACTCTGTTAAGCAAATAATTACTTTATAATACAACTGAGAAAGATTTAAACATACATGAAGGTGTTTTTTCATACAAAGGATTACTGATTGACAGATGTGTAAAATATATAGGGGATTCCCTGTCTACATACCAGGGTGTTTTTTTCTAAAAAAAAATTATGGGTGAATGCACATGTACAGGCATATGCTACATTCATTTAAAATATTTGTAACGATAAATATAAAACTGAAATTTAACAAAGCATTATTTGCATGAAAAGTTATATATGTTTATGAATTTCTCATTTATAAAAAAACAAAACAGAAGGACTGTACACAATGGGATAAAATTGAAAATTGTGAAACTACTTTATTCCATACACGTTATGCAAATGAGTATAAACTTATTTTGTCCAAGTCTAATGTACAATTTATATGTACCAATTATTTCATATAGTAGATTTTTCATAAAATTCCGTACTGTTTGGGTTAAGTGTACACTTCTTGCAAAATCGTACTCTTAAAATGGTCAACTGTGTCGATTTGAGTCCTATCAAAACTAGAAGAAAGATTACAATATAACTTTTACCAAATTCTATAATGTTGGTTTTACTTTTATTTACCTTTTTCATGTCAAGTTTTCTGATATCTAGAAAAAATCACATGACAGACAAGGGTGAATTAAAAAATGACCTGCAAATTGAACTTTAAAAAAATCAACTTACCATAACATGTTTTCCATTATTACATCATAGTATATATACATTCTAGTTAAAATTTCCGAAGTGACAATAAAATTGACGAATGTTTAAAAAGTTTCAGAATTTTTATTAGTAGAACTTCATTTAAAAACAGAAGAACTTATTACTTCATTCTAACAGAATTTCTCAAACAAATAATAAAATATGGAGATAATGAACAGTAATCAGGCTCCAAAGTCCATTGAAATAATATAAACCGGGAGCAGAGCAAAGACAGACCTCTAAAACATCAGAGGTGGGATCAGGTGAAATGGAAATTCTGGTTTGAAAAATTTTAATAAGAAAGATAAATGATGCAATAAATTTTACTTTTTTGTGAATTTATTTAACTCTTCAAATAAAAAATATGAAAAAAAATCAATAAAAAGAAGTCATCCTCACAACGTCAGCGGTCCTCAGTCAACACGTTCCTATTGGCAGTATTGGACCCCTGACAAATTTCATTCGATATCTTCGGGCTTGCTTCTCTCATTGAGATTGACCTACAAATTGAATGTAAATTATATACGGTGCCAATTTTGATGCACCAAATGCGCATTTCGACAATTTATGTCTCTTTATTGATGATCATGCCGAAACGTTGGAAATCCAAAATATTTTTTAAAAGACTTGGAAAAGTTGAATGCACGTATTACGCTTTGGTTATCACCGAAAGGCTTTATGTAATTGGTTGAGAAATAAGAAAAACAATCAAGATTTGTAATTTTCCCGAAAGACGTCGCTTCAGTCAAGATATCGAATGAAATTTGTCAGGGGTCCAACGGCAACGTGTTGACTCAGGACCCCTGAGGTTGTGAGGATGAAAAGAAGTTGGATAAAGTAAGTTTTCGAATAAAAAAAACTAGATTTTAAAGTGATCCTATTTTACCTTATTTTGTTACACTCCTGACATCTAATATATTTTTTTTATTATTAAAAATCGTCTTAAAGATTTTAAAACACTTTATCTCATCCAAATTTTTAAAGCAATTCGTCGTTGATATTTTTACGTAAGTTCAATTTATTGAACTAAAGTAATTTTTGAATAAAAATAGACCTTTAAAATCGTAAACAATGCAACTGTGTCCAGGCCCCTTAAAATGTCCAGAAATGTCTATGATATGTTGATTTTAACTACAAATAGCATCAAGCACTTTCTCCAATTTATTTTGTGATTAAGAGATGTAGAAAAGAAATTTATTGATAATTAAAAAACAGTTTTGATGCACTCCTAATTGCAGTAAGATTTAAGATTAAAGCCACAAAACGCACACATTCATAAAGCTCTGGCAACATCAAGTTGTTATAAAATTGTGCCTTATTTAAAGTTCAATACTTGTTTAATGGACTTTTGAGCTTGAATACTGTTCGTTATCTCCATGTAAATCATATACGGTACCAATTTTGATGCACCAGATGCGCATTTCGACAAATTATGTCTCTTCAGTGATGCTCAAGCCAAAACGTTGGAAATCCAAAGTATTTAAATAAAAAAGATTTGAAAGAGCTGAAATTATTTCATGTTTAAAAAGCATAAAATTATTTTGACTTGGCTTTGTATCTCAAATTATTCTCTATAAATATGTTGAAAAACTAGCTTAAAAACACAATAAAATATTAAAAAAAGGGACAAATTTCAATGATAAATCTGTCGATAATTTAATACTAAAATTATTCAGATAGATGCTTATTGATCGAATAATACTTAAATTATGAATAGAAGTTTTTTCTTTATTAAAATGGGATTTTTATAAAAATGTGTTGAACCCTTGAAATAGATATAGAAAACTAGAAATATGGACCTGAAACACAGAAAGATTCTGTAAATGATAGATTTATTTGTAAAAGAAAAATGTTCCTCGTGTCTTTATTTTCCAAACAAAAGAAAAAAAGAAAGCAAAAATGTATATACTATAAAAAAAAGTTCCAAGTTGAGGAGCAGAACATTAAATGTTGCACTTTGGACATATATAGGTATGCACAGATACTTGTCTCTCATTTATGCTGTTTGTGATACATAAAATATTTTAAATCTTTAAATGGTATATAAGTTATTGTATTACACTTTGACGATTCGTTTTTGTGTCGCCTGCAGAGAAAAGCGACACTAAAGGATCACTTCACCCAGCGTCTGTCTGTCTGTCCGTCTGTCACACGTCATATCTCGAGAACTGCAAGAGGCATGGATTTGATATATTGCGCATATATTGCTTGGCACTATGGCTGTTATAAAATACCATAGTTACTGACCCTCTTATCCTTGGCCTTTGACCTAATTTTCAAAATAGTTCATAACGCTGATATACAAAATATTTTGGCATTTTTAAAAGATTTTAGTCTATGCTATTTAGCATGTGCACTGTTTGTCATAAAGCCATTATATACCAGCGTTACAATCCACTTGGCCCTAACCTTTGACCTACTTTGCAAAGAATAACCCCTACAATTTGATTTAACTTATGTCTTTTGAATTTGGAGAGACAGGGTATTAAACGTGTTTTCAACTCATGACACTTTTTGTTACGTATTGATCTTTATAAGTTTTGTCAAATGTTTGTTTTGTATTCATCGTTATCAGTTTTTTAAATGTTTATTCTGTATCCATCTTTATAAGTTTTGTCAAATGTTTGTTCTATATCCATCGTTATAAGTTGCATAACTATTAAGCAGGACACAGTTGTGCTTTTAATATATATTTGCTAGTAAAATCATCCAGGTATGAAGAATGGGGTTTCCCTTTTTATAAAGAATTTCATATCAAGTATATCTACCGACAATTATTTGGGTTAAGTAAAGATATTTATGTCATTAGTCTCCTTCTTGCTCTCAGAAGAATCGGATGTACATCGTAATTTATCTGTTTACAGAAGTATCCTCTCTTTTAATTAGGGTAAGTCATACTTTACTGGTGATTTCTTTTAATTCTTTCTCGTGAACCCTCAATAACATTTACATTAGTTAGTTTTTTATGCCTTACCTTTATTTACGTGTCGAGTTTGATGCTCGTCGATATTTTAAAATGAATTTTAAATCCCAGTGCATCATTATAAATGCAGATTTGGTAAACGATAACTTTCGTACAATTCTGTTCATCGGAAACGTTAAATTTATGAAGTTTTACAAGAATTAAAAAGTGTTCAAAGTTAAAATACTTTCTTAGGGTTTCGCCTGACTTGTTCTTTGAAATGAAAAGAAATACTCATTGAACAAAAAATATTTAAGTTATTATTCCACGTGTGATAGAAAGCCATTTTGAGGCAGTAAGAACCTTCAGCTTTGAAAATTTAAATTTGCGAAAGTATTTTTTCACGAACGACTCTTTGTTTAATCAATACTCACGCAAAATCCAGAATTTAGCACACATTGTGTACATTTGATTATGCATTAAAAACGTACGAAATTAAACTAACATATTTTCATCATTATATAATGCATTTCAATGGAAAAAAAGATGGTCCAATTGTGACTTTTTCACGACCTGGTGCTATTAATTTATTAACACATGTATCTGTTTAGGTAATGTTTCTCTCGTGTAAATTATCCACTATGTTGTTATATATTGGCCAGATACCAAAAACTACAAAATTTTTAGAATACTGACTTTTTTAAAATATATATTACAGGTTTATGATTAACTGGGTGAACAATGAACACGAGAATATACTGTCTCATTTTCCTTTTTGTGAACCTTGACACAGTGCAACATGCGGAATGTCAAAAAATAAACGGAGCCACACTTGCCACTGAGCTTAACAGGGTGGCTAATGCAGTGGGGCGGTCATTTATACAAGTAGGTATCTAAGTTTCAAACGAAGTATTAGATGACGATTTTTTGCTTGGTCTAATCCAGACAATGAAGTAAATCTTGGGTACTTAAATGCTAATGTTGAAGAAAAAGAGATGAACTTGTCATCTGAGATAAGTTAATGAAAATCCAATGCTTTTAAAATATACTTAAGATACTATCAAGTTTATTAATCTGTAACCTTCCTGAAGATAATCCTCTAATATGTAAAAGGTGAAGATAACCGTGGTCAATTTCATAAACCCCATGAATCTAGTGTTAACGAAGTTCGTTCCTGAGCTTTTGAGCAGATTTTTGTCTTGACCTCTTTTTAAAAAATTCTGCATAATGTTTTAGTTCTTACATTTAATTTGGATTCTACAATGCTAATTCAACTATATTCAATCAAAACCCCATGATTAAATTCCATACCAAAAACATTAAGTGAGAAACTATAATATTTTTTGGCGGAAGGTTTTTTTTTAGAAGAAAATGATCAATTTTTTTCTTTCGAAATATTTACAGTATTGTTAAGTTTAGATTCCTATTTTTACATGCAGCCTTCACACAAAGTTATTTTGTGCAGTGAAATGTTTTACGCTGGTCCTAAATAATATATTGTATTAACCGTCATGAATTCTATCAACACATTGGACAAATATAGCAAATATATTGTGAAAGTTCTGGGGAAAAATAGCCCACTTTAGGTTAAATATTAACTCTTTTTTAGTTATATCTAAAAATTAACATCACAGACCCCCACTTTTAATTTTCTTTTCTGAATATACAAGATAATTTTAACCATTCTACTTAAATTCAGAAAAATGTCATTACTTTCAAATGATTTTTTTTGCTTGTTAAATTTTTAATGCCAGAAAAATGACATTTTATCAGTACAAAAAGGTCAAATAATTGATTATGCGAAGTAATTTGAAACTTTTTTTGTTGTCACAAATTTTAGAAAGACTATTCAAGATGAAAAAAAAGACTGTGTTTGTTCCCATAATTTATTTCAATAAAAAATATTAGAGGAAACACTTTGAAAAATTTATTTATGTGTTAGACGTACATGTAATTACAGTGCAAAAAGGTCATATTAAATGCTCCGTAGCACCAAAAGAAGCGCATTGACCCTCATTTTTGGTTTTGATTTTTAATTAAGCTATGTGTACAGATTTCAAAAATATACTTGATGAAAATCTTAATACTTTTGATAACAGGATCCAACCTCCTTAAGCATGGATAAGCTTTCCCTGTCGACCGTTCACGATCGCCTTGAGCCCTCTGTATTCATCATATAAACGGAATATCCCGTAGTCAAAACAATTGTCTTAGACTACTAATTATTGATATGAAACGTCAATTAAAATACATGTATGACCTAACTATAGGTTTTATTTGCAAACAACATCTTCATATCGACCACAGAATTCGCAAAATGCTGAGATTATACGAGATATGTGAAAACCCAATAACATTAACTTATGTATCAGTATCCTGCCTCTATTTAAAAGTTGGTCGTACTCAGAACATGCTCTTGAGTATCGAATCAGTTGGACGATATGAACACTATATATATGCAAGTGATATTGAAATATTATATAAGACATGGGGAAAGTTGACGATGAAAAAAGCTGAGGTAAACACGTATGTCATATTTGGCTTGATGTGACACTCTATGGTTTCCTTTATTTCGAGTTCACTGGGGTATATCGAGTAAACATTTGAATGAAAATGACTATTGTTAATTGGGAAAACTTCATAGTTATATCAAAATGTTGAATGGAAACCACAGCAAACGTTTTCTTCTTTTCATGAAGGAGTTTTTTTTTTAAATGAATTCTACTTAAGAAGAATATAAAACTAAGTCTGATAATGAAAGAGCACAATCAGAGCCTGTGGGAATTCCAGCAGATTCTCTGAAGACCTTGTTTCAAAAGACAGAGATATTGTCAATGAGGAACTCCAGCATCCTTTTAATATAAAATTCAGAGTACTTGTGTGTAGAATTAGAATGATATAAAGCAAAATAATTATGCATGACAAATAACAAGATAAGAAATTTTCCGAGCTCCATTTTTATTGAAAAAGCAATTGCCTGTAACGTCAAAAAGCATGATCTTTAATTTATCTTACAGAATGATTGCACAAAGTCTATAAAAGTTGATGACATTGTATGATTTAAAGTACAAAGTGTACAAAAATTAAATTCATTTATTATGTCAAATCAGAACAACGAAAATCATTAAATATGTAAAAACTGACATCAGAAGTTGAGATGACTTATACATTGAACTTACTGAAGTGATGGGATATATTATACAACATGCTAACCGAAAATCAGTTTAATATCTATATGCAAAATCAATGGAGTTGGTGAGGAGGTGGTGGTGTATTCATTTTTATTTTAAAATTCAATAAATGCAATTTTGTGAAAATTTAATTAGTGGGAGACCATTTTTAATCATTAAGTTATTGTCGAGCCTCCGTACATCAAAGCTTAATATGAAAGGAAAGAGTAGCACACAATGCTTTTTAAAGGGAAGTTAATGTTATATATAACTTCTAGCAAAATATTATTTCCAAACTATAAATAAAGACATGCATTGCTTTTTTATTTTTCAGAATATCTATGACAAACTAAAATATACACATACAGCAAGAAACGGAGGTGATCATTCACGAGAAGTAAGTATTATCTAACCTTTCGGCATATTTACATTTAAGATGTGTACTTCGATATTTCTTAAGACATTTTTCAGGAAAATTTTAAGATACGTTTTAGGGTGTAGAACGAAAGCGTCTTTAGAATATCTTAAGATGTCTTAAGTTCAATCCTGAACATTTTTCTTTTCTTCTTTATTGTTTAACAGATTTTACATGTTAGACATATTTTAAAGTCTCAATGAAATATGAAGATAATGAACAGTAATCAAGCTCGACAGTCCACTGAAACAGTACAAATTTAGAGCAGATAAAATACGGACCTCTAAAAACATCAGAGGTTGGATCAGGTACCATGGAGGAGTAAGCATCCCCTGTCGACCGGTCTTACCTGTCGTGTGTTCTTTGACATGATCAGGCAAACGGGAAAGTTCGTAGACGACAATTCAGTCTGAAAATAATGGCTTAACAATTTGTATGAAAAACTTCAACATTCGACTTAATGATAGATTGTATTTGCTGACAACACTTGCTGTGGCTTTCAACTCGATATTTAGAAATATTGACGACGTATTATCAGTTAAAGGGGCCTGGACACTGTTGCAAAATTTACTTTTTAAATTTCTCTGTTTTCTCAAAAATAAAACCAGTTGAATGAATTGAATTTACACTGAACTTACATGACTATTTTAAGAATTAAATGTCAGCGACATTCTTTTTAACATCACGTCAAACATCTGATTTTGTAAACAGGGCACGAGCTCTGTTATTGTTAAGTACAGGTCCACGTAACAATCAGGCAGCCTATATATAAAAGGTGATACATGGGGGTTCTCAGAAATTAATGATTTTTCACTCACAGTTTTTTCTTGGGCTATAAGCATGTATGTGGAAGGAAAAATATTTAGGGTCATTGTTACTATGGAAACCTGGACAAAGAAATTTCCCTAGCAACCGGCCAATTTTTCTTTGTAGATTGACGAAAATTCACTCATTTTGAAGGCTTTATACAAAATGTAAATATAGTAATTTTTTTTCTTATCTAGTGTAATGAGAAAGATACACTTTTAAAGTCATCTGTCAACGTAATTACAAGAAGTTACATTCTCTAATATATTTGTTATAGACACAGGAAAAGATACATGTTTCCCATTTTTTTGCTGATTCAGCATTTTGCTTGATTTTAGCAAAAATCAAGTCGATATTATTCATTTCACCATCTTAATACAATTGTTTCATCTTTTTCATGTAAAACCACAGGAAAACCTCTCTAAGAATTTGAAATAAAAAGTTTTGCAAATTTGAAATTCCTACCTGTTGCTAAGCAACAAAAATGGATGGTTTGATAAAATTAAAAAGGGGAAATTGTAAAGCATTGGAAGAAAAATCGGATAAATTGTAATCATTGAGTACCAAAAACAAATTTTAAAATAATAAAATATAAAATATTCTTCCTTGTATACTAAAGACTATTTTACAATAAGCTATCTCCATGGCAACTGCAAATTTTCCTTAGCAACGAAGCATTGAAAGTTATTTTTAGCACATATTCATCTAAGTTTTTAAAACATTATCTGATTCTTATAGTTGAATTGCTATTGCCCAGAATCGACATTGTCAAACTGTTTTTTTTAAAAGTATTTTTAAGGTAATTCGTCCATAGCAACAGAACTTGTCCACATAGCAACAAGTGCATTTTATAACGAATCAGTATGTAGCAATTCCTCAACAAAAAATCTCTGTCTTTAAGGATGTTAACTAGGCAAAAACATTCTACTTATAGAAATGAAAAATCATTTACTTGACTTGCTGGTATTTTTTCCACTTTCAAATGGTAAATTAATGACCTACTTTTTTATGCTAGTGGCTTATTGAGACTCGAGAGTCTTAAAATTTCTTGCAATTTCCTGAAAATTTTGCATCATGACCAATATTTGCAACGAAAACTGGATAGTCTAATTTCTGACAAGTTTAAAAAATACAGTAATCTCATTATAAAAAAATAATAACTTTTGATGAGGTCTACTTGTGACAATGCAGACCTGATGAGTTATTGGTTGGCCGAGGCCGAAGGCTGAGGTTAATCAGTTCGTGACGAAGTCTGTATGGGCACTAGTAGGCCCAATAAAAAATGTAATCATTGAGTACCAAAAACAAATTTTAAAAGAATATAATATACAATATTCTTCTGTGTAAACTAATGACTTTTTAAAAAATTTCCATCTCCATGGCAACAGAAAATTTTCCTTGGCAACTAGGCAAGGAAAGTAGTATTTAGCACGTACATGTATTCATGAAAGTTTTTAAAAATATTTATATTACATTTTAGCAGTAAAACTGAATTTGCGCAGCCTAACTGGCTACTCTACCTTTTTGTTGAATCTTCCTATGTTATTGAAATTGTAACAAATATCTAAATATCCCACATAAAAAGTTTCTGGGAGGGGGGTTGGGGGGAGGGGATTTGAGGAGTGTGTTATACAGAAATCCCTTACTGTGTGTCCTTCTGACCATGCAATCTTCTCCTTCCTATAACTTTGTTATTGAAAAACACTGGAAGCACATACTTTGTTCAGAGATTGCTTATGACCAAGGGGGTACCATGCTCTTGACGCAAGGTCATGCCAGCATGTTCAAGGTCACTGGCAAAAAAATGTATAAAATTTGTAACTTTATGACGGAGAATGATTGGATACTCGTACTTGGTACAGTGATAGCTTTGTTGACCAACGTGTGTTAAGACCTTGACTCAAGGTCATTTTGGTTAGTTCAAGGTCACTGGCTGAAAAATTTAAAAAAAATTTGTGTGGGCGATAAGTGATTTTGTAACGGCGAATCTTTGGAATCTCATACATGGAATAAAATTTCCTGATGATCCAATAGTGTATGTCGACCTTGACCCAAAGTCATTCCGGCAAGTATGTAGTCACTGGCAGAAAAACTATGTAATGGAGAATTACTGGAAGCTCATACTTGGTACAAAGATTGCTTTTGACCTGAGAGTAAAGCCGACCTTAACCCAAACATATTTTGGCAAGTTCAAGGCCACTTACAAAAAGTATAAAATTCTGGTCTGGCATATAACTTTGAAATGAGAATTACTAGAGGCATATACATTGTACAGAAAATGCTTTTGACCCGTGGGTTTGTCATGACCTTGATCCATGTTGGTTTTGGTAAGTTCAAGGTCACTGACGAAAACATATTAAATGCTTCGCGGGTATGTTAAGGCTACACCCAGAGATATCCTACTTGCCTTTACAATATGACGTCATAGTAAGCTGTATGACGTGAACTTAGAAATAATGATTTCTTAATATCTATCTTTAAAGTTTAATTTCAGGTCCAAGAAAAGAAGGGTATCATTCAAAACTTAATATAAACTAATTCTTGTCGTTTTTGGGTGGTATAAATAGCTAATGATTTAGCACGGGGGTTAAATACCAAACCCATGACGTCATAACTATTGATCAAATATTTGCCGAGTGAAATTAAAGGTGACGAGAATTCATGTAAACAAATATATGAAATGGGAGTTTTAAGGCATATACCGTGAATGTTAAGTGTGATTCATAAGGAATTAAAGATTAAGAATCAGGTACGCTGATATATTCTTATCATGTTTTCTTATAATGAACACAGTCAGTGCTTTGAAATCCCGATCAGCCGTTCCTCTGTCGTTCTATAACAACAAAGATGCAAAAGTTCAACACTACGCCGCATACTTTGAAACATAATTTTTGTTTGTATCGAAAGCTTGTATTCTATAGTACTTGGAAAGTGCTGCTAGAATCGTGTGGTTAACATGAATTGATAAAAATTCCTTGATCGTATGTATAAAATGTAAAAATTTTGGTAAGGTTTCATGCGAAACTTTGGAATATTTTTTTCTGTATCAGGAGAGTAGGATTCTAGCAGCACTTTTCATGGCCCAGTGATGTTTTTACATAATTATTTTCACTAAAAGAAATGAATTATCTCCGGGGTAGTGTTGAACTTTTCACTTTTTCATTAAGGCAATTTTTCTATTTATAGATGTCACGTGATGACGTCGTAGTGGAGTGCTTCTTTTAGTCTAAGACTCAATGACGTCTATACAATGGATAATAATAGTAAAATGTTTTTCTTTGGTTTTTCCGATTTATCAATGTTACATTTTACGAAAAAAGTCTAAATTCGCCGAAATATGATCTGGGTACTGCCTTAACATACCTGCGTTGTCTGAACTCCAAATTTGTAATGGAGAATCACTGGAATTTCAGCTTGATAAAGAGCTTGCTAATGATCCGAGGATGTGTCCAGATACTGAATAAAGATCATTCCTGCAAGTTCAAGATCACTGGCTGAAAAGTAAAAGAATCTTGTCTGGGTTATTTTTCATTGACCCTTGACTTTTGACCTTATGACCTCAAAATCAACAATGATCACCCTTTTCGTAGGGGTTGGGGGGGGGGGGGTTGATGTTTGTCATGCTAAGGATTTTTATCTCACCTGAGCGAAGGCTCAAGTTAGCTTTTCTGATCGAAATTTGTCCGCTTTCTCTCAACGTTGTCGTTGTTAAAAACTTGCACATTTTCAACTTCTCAAGAACCACTGGGCCAATTTCAACCAAACTTGCCACAAAGTATCCTTGGGTAAAGTGAATTTAAGTTTGTTTGGTTGAAGGGCCACGCCTTCTTCCAAGGGGAGATAATTATGATTTTGTGAAAAATTAATGGCATCATTTAAAAATTTTCTCAAGAACCACTGTGCTTGAAAATATGAAACTTATGTGGAAGCATCCTCAGATACCGTAGCGTAGATTTAAGTTTGTTCAAATCATGACCCCCGGGGGTAGGGTGGGGCCTCAATGGGCGACAAGAGTTTTACGTATCAATACATAGGGGAAATCTTTATAATTTTTCACAAGAACAACAAAGCCATGATTGGTCATGATAATATAAAAAGCATCCTCAGGTAGTGTAGATTCAATTAGGGCCCCGCTCTGCGGGTGCCCTATAGTGATCAGTCTGTCCCTCCGTCCGTCCGTCTGTCCGTCCGAGATCTCTTGTCCGGAGCATATCTTCTCTCTCCTTGGCCCAATCTGGCTCATACTTCACCCACAGAGTGTCTTTGGGTAAAGGGTGTGCAGTGACCTTGAAACATGTTTCTAGGCCTAAGGTCAAGGTCATAGCAGAATTATATGAAAAATCCTTGTCCGGAGTATATCTTCTCTCCTCTTGGTCCAATGTGACTCATACTTCACTCACAGAGTGCCACTGGTCAATGAATGTGCAGTGACCTTGAAAAAGTTTTTAGGTTAAGGGTCAAGGTCAAAAATAGCCTCTCTGTTTAAATCCTTGTCCGGAGCATATCTTCTCGCTCCTTGGCCCAATCTGGCTCATATTTAACCCACAGAGTGCCTTTGGGTAAAAGGTGTGCAGGGACCTTGAACCATGTTTCTAGGTCTAAGGTCAAGGTCATAGCAGAATTATATAAAAAATCCTTGTCCGGAGCATATCTTCTCTCCTCTTGGTCTAATACTTCACTCACAGAGTGCCACTGGTCAATGGATGTGCAGTGACCTTGAACGAAGTTTTTAGGTCAAGGGTCAAGGTCAAAAAGCCTCTTTATTTAAATCCTTGTCCGGAGCATATATTCTCTCTCCTTGGCCCAATCTGGCTCATACTTCACCCACAGAGTGCCTCACCGGGTTTGTTCGATTTGTTAAACTCACACATCACTGAACGTGGACTGACAACACAGGTAAAATGTTTTTGCTTTGCCACATTTCTAATCTTAGTTTTCTAGATTATAGTTTTAATATCTTCATTAATAGACAACAAAGTTTCTACGTTTCTAAAGTATTTAGGATAAAGTTTACATCGTGAGAGTGCTAGTATACATGTCAATCAAACGCATCCCGAAATTCGTTGTTTTAATAAAGTCCAGATAAAAGAAGTTTCCTAACACATTTTTATTATATTTCTGTGTGAAATGCTACAGCAACATATAAGCGATGATATTATACAGAAAAATTGAGAAAATATTAACTTCAAATCTGTGTCCCAACTCCTTTAACATTAGTTACTTCCATTCATATGTCGACTCGATATATCCCAGTGAGCTTGAAATAAAAGATACCACAGAGTCAGACACATCTGTTCCATATTTGGATATTTTACTAGAAAAAGACATTAATGGTAACCTAACAACAAAGCTTTATGATAAACATGATGACTTCAATTTTTCAACCGTCAACTTCCCTTACTTATGTAGCAATATACCCTTATCACCTGCACATGGGGTTTTTGTCTCCCAGTTGATTCGATACGCTACGTATGAACAATTTCTAAATCGAGGCAAGCTATTGACAAAAAAGTTGATGAAACAGGGATATGAACAGTCTTGTTTGAAGTCATCATTTTTCAAATTTTATGGTCGATACAATGACCTTGTCAGTAAATACAACCTATCATTAAGTCAAATACTGCCTGATATTTTTCATACTGATTGTTAGGCCATTATTTACACACTGAAATGTCTACGGATTTTTCCGTTTTTTCCTGATCATGACAAGGAGCACACGGCGGTTGTGACCAGTTTGCAGAGGATGCTCACTCCTCCATGGCACCTGATCCCACCTCTAATGTTTCTGGAGGTCCTTGTTTGCTCTACTCCCGATGCGTATTGTTTTAATAGACTTTGAGCTTGAATACTGTTCGTTATCTCTATTTTTCATTTAGACGTTTTTGGATATATTCTGCTTCATACAATTACAAAAATAAGTTTGCTAATAGCAGGGCGCAGTGAGTACCCATGGGTATTCCGAACGATTGTTGGAAGATTTATCTCCAAAAACAACATATATATGGTCATTCAGAAACTCAAGCAACTTTTAATATCAACGTCGGAGTGCTTATGTGTTCAATTAGAATGTTTTTTAAATATAATTTTGTAAATGACCGATACATGGAAAGGTCAGTAAATTTACGAGTTCCATTTTTATTGAAAAAGCAGATGTCTATGAAGTAAAATACCCAAAGCTTAATTTATCGTGCTGAATTGTTGTATTAAGTGTTGAAAAGTTGTACTAATATGTACTAATAGGTGTATTAATTTTGATAATTTTTTAATTTCAAATGTTCTAGAAGTTCCCTTGAAGTTTTTAAGTGTCTATATCTGATTTACACCACTCGAATATATATATATATATATATATATATATATATATATATATATATATATATATATATATATATATATATATATATATATATATATATATATATATATATATATATATATATATATATATAGTTGTACAGCACTCCTGAAGTTTCCATTTCACTGCTGTTAATATTTTAGTGATGGGTTAAGAAAGAGGCTTGGTAAAACATTTACTGGAACCCGTTATGTATCTTTGTTTGTAAGGATTTATATGTAGTTTAGGAATTCATTATAGGTATGATATTTAAATATTTGATTATTTGGGTTATTGTAAATATTTTAAACTGACATATGATTTTGAAGAATTTTCTTCCTTAAAATAGGAACTTAAGTTAGATAACCACTTAGAGAAGCCCATTAAGGGTGAAGATATCATTTTTTTATTCTGAGAGAGTATGAATTTCCTTCTGTGTGTAATTATCTTTACTAAAATATAATTTGATATCATTTTGTACATGTACATAAAAGCTAATTGATGAAAAAGATACATGTATTTGAAAATTATAACGGAAGACCAGGATGGACTGTATATGATAAATGGACGTTAAAGTGTAAGCTATGATAAAGACTAACTGTTGATATTTACCTTTTCAAACTATTAAAGAGACATAGAATTTATAAAATAACCCTGTTGTCAGCACTTATTATTGGAATATTTGAAGGATGTTTGAGAGTTGTAATTTAGAATGCAACTATTTATGTTCTTCATTGCCTTTAAAGATTGCACGGAAAATTAGTCAACGAATGGAGAATATGAAAACTTCTTTGACTTATCTTAAACAAACAATGGAGAATACGTTTGGGCAGATGGCTCCCAGTAATACATACCAGGATTGCTGCGTGGACGGTAATTACGAGAACAATCTGCATTTTAGAACCAAGGTAAAGACCCCTAAAGTGCCAAGAGAGATAACTCCAAAATCGAAAAATCATTATGTTTCCTTTATAAACATTTTTTTAAAACAATGTTTGCTCCATATGTTAAATTTGCTTTAATTTGTTGATTTTTTTAATCACTCCTAACTTAATTTTTTTTTTCTGCTTATCATAAATAAATTATTTTAGAACGTTCTGCATTAAAGCAGATTTAAGCATCAATATAAACTTTATACATATTTCACCGTGATGACCATTTTTTTTTAAATTCTATCCCTTTTCTCCATTTCTTTTTTTAGGTATCATTAGAGGAGTTTTGCTATAGTAAGCCAAATTATGTTAGAGAAGAAAACCTTAGATATCCTACGATGAATGTACTGGATACCATGAAAACAAACCACGAAAACAACAAAAACCTCCAGTTTCAATACATTGCTCTGAATTCAGGACTTTTTATTAATTATCCAGCAACAAAATTAACTGACTGTGACACATATGATCCGAGGTTCAGGTAGGATTAATATCTTATTCAATCTTAAACATTTAATTTAAGATAGAACCCAGAGAAACCTTTGCCGACTTAACTGAGATCTTTATGGCAATCCCGTATTACACTTATTTTTTCTGCCGTGTTACTTGAGTGAAAATGTTATAAATATTTATAACGTTTATTTTGCACTTCAACATTAATGAAAGATTTTTTTTTTTACGTATGGCACGCTTTAATTGTTTTACAATAATTAGATTAGAAAATTATGATATTGTGAATGTAATTAAATAATGTCCCACAGAAAAGCGTGGGTGATTTACTCTAAAGACTTCTCAAAAGGAAAGATTAAACCCTATCCAAATTAGAAAAATGTAAGACATTTTATAAAAAAAAAAAATAAGGCAAAGTTTATACATGTATTCAGGTTAATCTGATTTCTTCTTACTCCATAAAAGATATATTACAGCTTCTAGTAAATATTCCACCAAGCCTCTTCCTTTACTCCTCATAAAAGTAGTAGTTAAGGAGAAACTTCATCAGTACTACGCAACAGCATATTCAAGAAGGTGTGCTTGTCACATGTGGATATTTAAAAACGAGACAAAAACTTTCCAAAAATTTGAAATCCTGTATTTTTGCCAAAATCAATAGCATCAAAAACATGACTTTAAACTCTTTTACAAAACAATTCCCAACAACAAATCAAAGGAAAAAGGCATTTGACACCATAAACAACTGATTCCTCAATAAAAATGGAACTAAGAGAAAATTCATATTTTGTCATTGGTCATCTACAAATTAGACTTACTTCGTTAAATATCATTTGATTCTAAACACAAACACTTTGAAGTTGATATTAAAAAGATGCTTGAATTCCCTATTTACAATTTATACGTTGTATTTGGATTCCAGGTCTTCCAACAATTTGTAATTGTGAATTTCAATTTGGAAATTCCATGGGTACGTGTTCTTAAAGGTGCTTAGACACGGATTTGAACTTAATATTTTCTCATATTTTCTGTATAATATCACGACTTATATATTGCAATAGCATTTCACACGAAAATATAATTAACAAATTATTTTATCTGAAAATTATTGGAACTACGAATTCCGGGACGTTTGATTAACATATTTTTGCACTTACACAAATTTTAACTTTACCCTTAATATTTAAGAAAAGAAGCGATTTTGTGTGTATTAATGAACAATATTACAACTATAATCCAGAAAATTCAGAGTAGAAATGTTCGAGAGCAAAACCAACTCACCAGTATTGGCAGTCCATGCTCTGTGATATGTACAGAGTTTAACAAATTGAACACACCCGTGAAACGTTAACTGTTTTTGTAAACAGGGCACGAGCTCTGTTATTGTTAATGTTTACGATTCACCGGATGTGTTCAATTGTTAAAGTCTGCACACACCACTGAGCACGGACTTACAATACTGTGAGTGGGTTTTGCTTTCGAACATTTCTACTCTGAATTTTCTGGGTTATAGTTTTAATATTTTTCATTAATACACAACAAAATTGCCACTTTTCTTAAGTATTAAGAATAAAATTAAAATATCTGAAAGCGCAAGGATGTGTCAATCCAACACGTCTAGAAATTAATTTATGTTACCCTATTGTAATTAAATTTCATAACTATAACTAAATTTGGTTTCAAAATTATTGTACCTAAAATCGCTAGATGCGGCAGAAAAAGATTAACAAAATGAATAAAAGAAGAAAAGGCATTGTAAAACAGTTGTTTTTCATCATTTCTTAATGATTCCTCTTTATAGTTTTACCACGTATGTTTATATTTAGCTTCAGGTCGAAATCATCTATTATTTTCCTTTTTAGACCTTTTTTTGTGGCCAGTACTACTACTACTCCCAGGGACATAGTGGTCGTCATAGATATATCCGCTTCCATGAGAGGGTATAAGTTGACTGCAGCCAGGCATGCGTTTAGCACTGTCATTAAAACACTAAGTGCCAAGGACAAGGTGCAGTGTATATTTTAATGTTCTATTTCTGCAGAGCATTTTTTTTAACCGCTAAAATATTTCGAGTGGATGACAGCGTTACATTGTTAGTTGGAGTCAAAATATAAGAGAATAGCACAATGATTTCTTAATTGAAAACACGATAAATGCGTCATGTGAATATTAAAAACAATACTCTTAAAACGCACACTTTATTATTACAATAAAAGTATTTGATGTTTACAATGTATTCCATTTCTTAATAGATTGCTATTGTTGTATTTAATGATGAGGCGGACAGCCCCAGTGGTTGTTACAGTGATATGTTAGTCCCGGTCACAAACACAACTCAGGAATATCTGGAAGGTTTCCTTAACGCGAAAGGGGCGAGTGGCGGATCTGACTATGCTAAGGGTCTCCGCAAAGCATTCAGTTACCTAAAGACAAACTCAAGCAAAGGGACAATGTCGAGAGGTAAGATTTTAATCTCCATGCAAACGATTTTTAAGAAGTGACAAAACACACACACACACACCCTCACACACACACACACACACATTAATATATGATGCTTTCCGTTTCGGAATTTAAAATAATAGCACTAAGAATCACAAGCAAAGCAAAGATAACTTTAAAAGTGTCAATTACTTTTGTCATTTTTTCCTGATATATTTTAAGTTAATGTAATTCATAGTCATTTTTACAGATATCATTTATGGTACTACATTTGTTAAAAACGTCAAACCTGGTGTATTATTTACACAGTGGTTTCATCAATAAGTCAAAATCGCCTACTTTAAGGAAATACGATAGCATTTCTTCAAATGTAGAAATTGTAATACCTACACGATATGGATTTCTTGCAGAGCAGATCATCTTATTTTTGACTGACGGGGAAAACTTAGGAGACAATCCACTAGAAATCATCAGGGATGAGAATCAACAACTTCAGAATAGAGTTGTCATTAATACGTACGGTATAGGAGCAGGTACGTATGTCACAGATAGAACTCACACCAACACTTACACAAAAAGGGAAAACAAAGGAGCAGGTAAGTGTGGTACAGATAGAACACCAACACTTACACAGAAAGGGAAAACAAAGGAGTAGTTAAGTGTGGTACAGATAGAACACCAACACTTACACAGAAAGGGAAAACAAAGGAGTAGTTAAGTGTGGTACAGATAGAACACCAACACTTACACAGAAAGGGAAAACAAAGGAGCAGGTAAGTGTGATACAGATAGAACACCAACACTTACACAGAAAGGGAAAACAAAGGAGCTGGTAAGTGTGGTACAGATAGAACACCAACACTTACACAGAAAGGGAAAACAAAGGAGCAGGTAAGTGTGGTACAGATAGAACACCAACACTTACACAGAAAGGGAAAACAAAGGAGCAGGTAAGTGTGGTACAGATAGAACTCACACCAACACTTACACAGAAAGGAAAAACAAAGGAGCAGGTAAGTGTGATACAGATAGAACACCAACACTTACACAGAAAGGGAAAACAAAGGAGCAGGTAAGTGTGATACAGATAGAACACCAACACTTACACAGAAAGGGAAAACAAAGGAGCAGGTAAGTGTGATACAGATAGAACACCAACACTTACACAGAAAGGGAAAACAAAGGAGCAGGTAAGTGTGATACAGATAGAACACCAACACTTACACAGAAAGGGAAAACAAAGGAGCAGGTTAGTGTGGTACAGATAGAACTAACAACAACACTTACACAGAAAGGGAAAACAAAGGAGCAGGTAAGTGTGGTACAGATAGAACACCAACACTCACACAGAAAGGGAAAACAAAGGAGTAGTTAAGTGTAGTACAGATAGAACTCACACCAACACTTACACAGAAAGGGAAAACAAAGGAGCAGGTAAGTGTGGTACAGATAGACCTCACACCAACACTTACACAGAAAGGAAAAACAAAGGAGTAGGAAAGTGTGGTACAGATAGAACACCAACACTTACACAGAGAGGGAAAACAAAGGAGCAGGTAAGTGTGGTACAGATAGAACTCACACCAACACTTACACAGAAAGGGAAAACAAAGGAGCAGGTAAGTGTGGTACAGATAGAACACCAACACTTACACAGAAAGGGAAAACAAAGGAGTAGTTAAGTGTGGTACAGATAGAACTAACACCAACACTTACACAGAAAGGAAAAACAAAGGAGCAGGTAAGTGTGGTACAGATAGAACTAACACCAACACTTACACAGAAAGGGAAAACAAAGGAGCAGGTAAGTGTGATACAGATAGAACTAACACCAACACTTACACAGAAAGGGAAAACAAAGGAGTAGATAAGTGTGGTACAGATAGATCTCACACCAACACTTACACAGAAAGGGAAAACAAAGGAGCAGGTAAGTGTGGTACAGATAGAACTTACACCAACACTTACACAGGAAGGGAAAACAAAGGAGCAGGTAAGTGTGGTACAGATAGAACTCACACCAACACTTACACAGAAAGGAAAAACAAAGGAGCAGGTAAGTGTGATACAGATAGAACACCAACACTTACACAGAAAGGGAAAACAAAGGAGCAGGTAAGTGTGATACAGATAGAACACCAACACTTACACAGAAAGGGAAAACAAAGGAGCAGGTAAGTGTGATACAGATAGAACACCAACACTTACACAGAAAGGGAAAACAAAGGAGCAGGTAAGTGTGATACAGATAGAACACCAACACTTACACAGAAAGGGAAAACAAAGGAGTAGTTAAGTGTGGTACAGATAGAACTCACACAAACACTTACACAGAGAGGGAAAACAAAGGAGCAGGTAAGTGTGATACAGATAGAACACCAACACTTACACAGAAAGGAAAAACATAGAATTGTCAGAAACAGATACTGTATACGTCCGGTATGGAGACACGTGACACATACACAGTTAATTCTAACACCACGGACGAATATACATAAAGGGACCAAAAGAAGAATTATTAGCCACTTTATAAAAACGAGTATAACAGGCAGAGAAATTTGTCATCTGCACAATTTGGATAGGAACCTATTTCATTCAATTACAACGATAGCATCGATATTTCATGCAAATGTAGTGTTAAACTACAAAATGCTTTTTTGGTTGTTAGTCTGGGAATTGATGTTGCAGCTGTTGCAGAAAAAAGGCATAGCCCGCGTAAGCGGGTTATGTAATATTTTTTTTTTTGCAATAGCTGCAACGTTAATTCCGGTACTAACAAAGAAAGAAAGACATTTTATTGTTTATATTTATATCTGTACAAATAATCATTTAAAGTAGGATTGAGTAGATGGATTATTGTATTATTGATATGTACGTCATTGTACGTTTCGTTGATGGAAGAGCCACTGCTCAAAAAATCTGTAGAGGTAATATGCTAAGCGGTGTTTACTGACTGATAAACTGCAATGGTTTTCTTAAGAAATAAAGGAGATAATTTTCAGTGGATGTAAATTATTAACAAAAGAAGCTGCACAAATGCTATTTGCAATGGGCCTCTTATTCTAGACTTGTAAAAGACAATAGTGATATTCAGATTACATACTGATCTATCTTTTGATTTCTTTAGGTCTGAGCAGCGAAGACAAAGAGTTGTTGAAAAATATGACTGAACAAAAGCTTAATAGCATTTCATATGGTCATGTAAGGGTAAGAACTTAGTCTTATTCATGGGAAAAGATAAATCTGAAATACTTGCAACCATGTCTAAGAAATATAAAGTATTATCTGAAATGGAACATTATATCTTCAGAAGTGTTAAGGTTAATTAACTTTCTGGATATATAAGCTAATACATATAAATGTTTTTCATTCAGCAAGATCGGTGATATACATGTACAACAAAACTTGTAAGTGGTCGACGTGTTTTACGCATTAAATCTATATAGCTGAGATTAAAAAAAAATCATTGCAAGGGTTTAAAACTAAAGTTAGAAAATGTTTGCTATTTATCAGTCACAAATGTAAATATAAGTAATAGGTATCATTTTTTTAACTTTTATCGGGATGTAAATACAGTTGGTACGTGAACAAATCTACCATAAAATCCTTCGGACTTTATGGGATTTGATCACATGACCAACCCGTATTTACATCGCGATAAAAGTTTTAAATGATACCTTATTTCTTGGTCATATGTTCATTATTTCATAATTATTGATCGATGGAATCATTAATAAGGATTCGTTAGAAAAACAGTATTCAATTGTTTATTACAAAATTGTGACTATCCAATCACTACTTCAAACGAATCTTAACTCTGATGTGTAATTAGCACTATAAAGTTTCCTCTAAGACTAGTCATTTTTATATCCTTCATTCAAAATATTGCCTTCAAATACATTTCTCAAAAGCAATCATTTAGAAATCGCTTGTCAAAGCCTTGTCAATTTCTCTAGGTTCGACTTCCAGCTTCTTCAAATGGATCTTGCTGAAATGTTTAAACAATTGAAAATTTAAAAATGAAATTTTAAAATCATTGAAGAATGTATCCATTATTAGTTGTAAACGTACAAAACAAAATTAATAAAACACATTTCCAATTTTTTTTACATTCATTTCAAAGCTTGTTTGATACTAAGCGACTGACAGGAAAAGACAAATACCTGGTGTAACATAGAAAACTTGGATATATCATCTTGCATTTGAATTCATTTTTAAATCCATTTTTAAATCAGTCAAATATTTCGCACATTTCTCCAAATTTTACTCGCAGTTTTTTTTTTTCAGAAAGCACTGATTATGTAGATACTATTACAAGTAGTTGAAAGATGTTTACATTTTTAAATTCAAGGAGTAGAACTAATACAAATTAGTTGGTCATTTGCAGTCTGGAAAATCTGTCATCATAGCGGATGTTCAGACGACTTCACTGTCGGAAGTACTGGGTACTTACTACAACTACTCCAGTCTACCTATATCACAGTCCCCCGCATATACACAACCATACAAAGACTTGTTCAGTAGAGGTGAGGCGTAGTGAGTCAAACTTTTATAAGTATTAGTTTAAAACCTGCCTTAGAAAACTTTACTTTTTAAGGGTGTAAAACTCATTGATATACTTAATTTTATTTTATCATGTAGAATTCGTGATGACGGGTTGTTTGCCTATTGAGCATCGTGGAGCCTTTGTTGGGGTGGTGTGTGCCGATATTTTGTTAAGTGAGCTGGTATCGGAAATCATGTACCTCCAAGAGGGAGAATTTTCTTACGCCTTCGTAATCGATGGTGAAGAACGGACACTGATTCATCCGCTTCTTCCGGATCCACGTGACGTCACTGCAGAGGAATATGACGTAAACAACATCTATAACTTTGAAACTTCAGGAGATGTTCATGAAGTTATAAATTCCATGAAAAAGAAAGTATAGAAAAGCTAAATTTATTGCATATATATATATATATATATATATATATATATATATATATATATATATATATATATATATATATATATATATATATATAAAATCTTGGGATATTATAGAATTCTTATCCAAATAGTGCCTTTGGCGAGGGGATGCAAACATACAGGAGGTGAATAAAATGATATCCAATCACAAATCATAGGAGATTCTGATTATAGTCACATTTTACCTAATTTTATAATGACTGTTACTTTCTTTCCCCTGTTCTGCGACGTAAAACAGGCGACGAAAGAGGGAAGGTTGATTTATTGATTGATTGGACGTTAAACAACGTAGATTTAATCAACCCCGTCACCTGATTTACGTCCAAGAATGGCATGAATAAGTTTGTGCCTATTTGGATAAATGGTTCATTTCACACACTTTGTATTTCGTCGCCTTGTAATCTTACATAATCAAAAATACAAACATGAATTCAGACAAAATTCCATATAATTTATGAAAATCATTGATAGAACAGAAAATACTTCAAAAGTAGTTCTCTTCTTTTTCCTTTCCAATTGGATACAGGAAAAAAATATGTGATAAGAGACTTTATTTTGTTTTGGACTTTATGTAAAAAAAAAAATGTAATTTAGTTAATAATAAATTTACAGTTATAAAAAGATTAAAATCATAGATGCTTCTTTAATTTTTTCCCCCAAAATAAATACATGAAAGCTTCCTATTTCAAATATCAGTTTACTTCTCTGTGATAGAAGTTTATTTTTTTATTTGGAATAAGAAAGTTTTACTCTGTTAGTTTTAATTCCCTCTTATATATCAAAGAAAAAACGTAAAATTCCACATTGTACTTTGATAGGGGTGAGACGGGACAGAGAATGTTACTGACGACTGTGATAGAGTCCAGAGGAGACCGATTGTACGATGGAGACTCTCAGAGACAGCTTGATGCAGTGTACTACTGGACTCCGGTAGGTAGTTATTTAAGTTAGATTTATTTTAAGATCATACAGCAAAATTAAAGTTGAATATCCCTGAAAAAGAAAAGTGTTGAAATTACAGAACGAATGAAAATGTGAACATGTTTTATCACTTAACAACAATACCGGCACATTTCGGGAATAACATCAAAAAAGCTTGTTAGTTTGGTCGATCAGTCTTTTAATTAACATATCTAAGTGTGTTTAAAATGAAACATTTTTAGCAAAAACCAGGTTGGGAAACAACTTTGACCCTGTTCCTTAGCTATATTATAATCCAAGTTTTCTGGTGTAAAAATTGTGTTAATTTGAAGTTGACATCTCGGTTCTCCATGAAGTACTCTGATATTTGTATCTGAATTCTCATGTCACTTTCCTAATATAAAATCACTGAATCAATTTTAAACGAGGAAAAGGCGTTTCATACAGAAAAATCACAAAACTAGCACCTTGTATGATTCCTGACGACACTGTGCTTTATAAAACTATTTTCTTCTTGAACATAAATTGGCTTAAGTTACAAAATATACAAAGCTCAGTGTGAATTAACATCTAAAATCAACTCCAAAAACCAACACGTCATGAAAAAAATGAAGATCAAGTTTTAACACTGCAAATGAAATATATGGAGATAACGAACAGTATTCAAGCTCAAAAGTCCATTAAATATTACAAAATAGGTACAGAGCAAACACGGACTTCCAAAACTTCAGAGGTGGGATCAGGTGCCAAAGACATGTAACATAATCTCTGAAAAATATTACTGTTGTAATATCATTATGAAAGCATTATTATTTCTATTTATTTCAAGCAAATGTCCAAAGGGCTGGAATGTGTACCTTAGAAATTAATTGTTTAAAGTTTTCTATCAAAAGGGATAAATTAATTTTGTTAACGTTTAATATAAACTTCGGTAATAATTTTAAAAATTTGACCCACAATGGAGACGAATGGAATTAACATAAATGTATTTAAGCAAAGATATCTGCTATTATTAAAATGCTCCGGGGCCATAAAACTTAGATGAGCTCACTTTTGATCTCAGTCTCACTTTTACCAAAGGAATTGATAGTAGAAAAGTGAGATTTAGATCAAAAATGGGCTCGTCTAAGTTTTATGGCCCCGAGGGCAATATAATTTGTAAATACACTAAGACCAGGAAACAAAAAAGTTTATGCAAAGACAATAAGGATACAATTTGAAATATTCGAAATACGTAAAGAATGGTTTCGTGTTTTTTTTCAAGTTTGCTCATTTCATCCTACTATTTGAAGCAGTCTGAAAACTTGAAACATTTCTCCCAGCCCATGGAACCGTATGTGTGTGTGTGTGTGTGTGTGTGTGTGTGTGTGTGTGTGTGTTTATTCCAAGTAAAATCTTACGTTATTTTGACAGATTGTTGCATCTGGAAGCAATTTGTCTCTGTGCCTTGTGTTAAAGAAAAATAGCAACATCACTACACTTAATGACCTTCCGCGTTCGCCTACAGACACCAGGGGTTTTGTATACCATAGATGGGATTTAACCAGATGGCCCCCACCATACTGTAGACATTTCAACAGATATGCCACAAAAGGTCTGGTTTGGTCCTAATTTGATTCAATTTCACAGTCAAATAATTAAAAAACTTACTTTGTAGTTCATTTAACAGAGTTTTAAAAATCGTGAAAGATAATGATGGAGAGAAATAAAAGAAAATGTGTTTCCTTCAAAGATTTCTTTTTCTTCAAGATTACATAATTAAGAATTTCTGCAGAAGTGCAAAAAAAAAAAAAAGAATGCAATCAAATTAGTTACCAGTAAATCATTTTTATTCTATTACTCTAATTGAAGACCTTTTTTGTATTCATATGAAGCAGAAATTATTTAAAATTTTCTACATGAAAAGGAGAAGTCTCTTGCCTTCAATTTGACATTAAGTTATATCCAAGGCGTTTATCAATTAATGATATTCATTTTCATCTATACATTGATTCGATTTATACCATTGAGATCAAAATAAAATCTCCACAGAGTCTAACGCATCTGATTGATATCTGGATGTTTTACTAGATAACACAAATTTTTATGATAATTTTGGGAACTTTCCTGATGTCATCTTTATTTATGTAGCAATATACGATTGATAGATTGTGTGTTGTTTTATGTCTCATTCAAAATTGTTTTCACTCATATATAAATACTCATCATATACCTGTGAAGGGCTTCAAATTTAGATATTTAATCGGCAGTCAGGGCCATTGAGCAATGAAGACTAAGGATCTTAATCGTGCAAACGCCTACCGTGACACTGGACTTCGGTTTTTAAGGTCTCATCCGAAAGAACTATAACTTTCACTGCTAGTGCTTGGCGAAGGAAAAGTCTATACCTATGTTACGTTTTAGGTTTGACGCGGCGAGCGAGAATGAAACTCATGCCTCCCAGTCACGAAACAAACGCCCTACCACCAGGCCATCGTGACCGGTCGCAATATACGAAAATGATTATTACCTGCATTTGGTAATACGTCTCCAAAATGATTCGATATACACAGGAGCATGTTCTATGTACAAACAGTTTCTTACCCTTGGCAGACTTTTACGAAGAAGATGATGATAGATAATCGTTTAAAGACAAAAAATCGTAAATTCTTCGGCCGATACAGTGGCATTGTTTGCAATACAAGCTGTCATTTGATCGAATGTTCACTGACTGTTTTTTATAACAATCGTTAGGTTATTATTATTTGCATATTAAATGAAAATTAATAAGACAAAGGGCTTAAGGCAGATGTCACCACTCGAAAGGGGATGTTTACTCTTCCAGGGCACCTGATCCCTCCTATAACTTCTTTAGGGTCCATGTTTCTTCTGTTCTAAATCTGTATTGCATACTTGACTTTTGAACATAATTACTGTTCACTATCTTCATTTCATCTTCTTTAAGCAACACATGAATATGTTGTAGTTCTCGAGAGGGACGTTAAACAACAATAAACAAACAAACAATATATTGTAGCTACAGTTAATTTTGTGGAATTATTTCTTACCATATTTATTTATTTTTCTAAAGCCAGAACGACGGTAAAATTTACACCAGACGCGTTCACTGATCCGCTAGAATACAAGGGGGTTGAAGAAACTGAACAAAGAGTGCAACAGTATGCGAAATATCTCGCTGGAACAATTACAACAAATCCAGGACTTAAAGTAAAAATTATATTCTGCTTCTTAATTTGCTATAGAATCTTTAATAATCAAATGTAATCAACAAAATTTTACATACAAATACCCCTACCTAGTTTGATTTTTGCCTAAAAAATTATCATTTATATAAAATACTTTTTTATACATGAAGATAAACACAGCGATTTATATAAAATACTTTTTTTATACATGAAGATAAACATAACGTTAGGTTTTGTCTATCGCCGCACAACAAGAATATTACCGACTTCGTTATGACGTTACTTTTTGGCACTCATTTTCAGTTCATCCACAAATCTTTTTAAACTTTCACATGGTTCTTTTTAATAAACCTCACTTCCATTTTGCTGTGAAGCGTTCTGAGTTGTATTATTAAAATTATTTGATATTTGTCCAAATGTTATTTCTAAATCCATTCCTTTTGCGTAGGTCTTATGTAAGTTACTGACGATAAAGGTTGACTGATCGTGCACTTACATTCTTATTCCTCAGTTGAAATATTGTATGGTTTGATAACCTGATTTAACATGATTTAACATTGAAAATTTTCACCCCTCGAAAACCATTGTCAACCTTGGCTGCGCCTCAGTTGACAATGGTTTTCTTGGGATGAAAATTTTCAATGTTACACTCAACTACATGCAGTATTTATACACTAATACAGGAAATAATTACCATTATAAAAATACAAAAGTTGCATAAAATACTAATGTAGATGGACAGAACTTACGAAGAAAAAAGTGGATGAATATGCAAATGTAATATGGAAAGTTAAAATAATTCTTTTATGAAATAGCTTAAAACTAGTCGATCTAGTACAAGTTGGGAGTGTACGAGAAATAAAACGTATATATGAGAGTTTTAATATATTTATAGATGAAATGAAAATGAGTGCAGAAGAGAAACGTCATATCGAGGTCGGTACATTCTTGCCGCGCGGCGAATGACGAGACCTAACATAATCTGTTTTTTAATTTTTTTTTTAAAAAGTATCATATACCCGGTATGTCTGAATGAAATTTTAAAGTTAAAATTTAAAAAAAAAACGATAGAGGTATCAATATATAAAAGAATGAGAGCACTTTAAAGTGTCATTTGGAACCTTTTCGGCCACCCATTTTAAGCCTTGCATTAGACTATATCTATGATTATTTTGCGTTCATATGCTTTTGATATTTATACTTCGAATATTTTATTAAACACATTTCTGTAATCCCACACAACGTCATTGAAAAGAACACGTATAAGCCTTAAATTCCGGAAATTTGAACTGGACCACTTTCGAATTTAAGGTACCCGCAAATGGGCGGAGATATTTAAATCGCATGGAAGTGGAATGCACATTATTTCAAGATTGATTCCACAGTATGAATTTAAATGGAGGAGAGAGAGATTGTGTAGTTTTATGATTCACACAAATAATAAATGATTCCTGGCCATACATACTGATCATTTTCATGATTCGTATCCATATGTTTGCTGCCTAGCACCAAATTAACTCAATCTTAGTTTTCGTCTATATATATATATATATATATATATATATATATATATATATATATATATATATATATATATATATATATATATATATATATATATATATGAATAAAAAATGCCCCCTGCCCTTTTTTTTTTACTTTAGCTTTATCATTTTTCGTTTTATATGCTGAATGCTTTTCAATTCAAAGAATGAATGTATGTTTTAGGAAAGATTCACCATTTTAGGCTACCTTTTTGGCACAAGTGTCGGATAAGTTAGTTTTCACTTATTTCCACATATTTATTTATTTTATTAACTATATTTTTAATTTGTTGTAAAAAGGTTTTAAAAATGATTAATCTGTAATTCGATATATTTTTACTTCTCTCATAATTTGTTTACTTATGTCATGCACACAGACTACCAAAATGGTCATTCTTTAAACTCTTTCGTGAAGTTGAGATGAAACATGTCACTGCACGTATCACATATATATACTAAAAAATCCATTGTTTAAAATAAAGCAAATAATATAACATACATGTAGTATATACATGTATATTAAAATGAAAGAAAATGCACATTATCTCATACTTCATTGATTTTATTTAATAAAGTTTTAGGAATTCTATCTTCATCTTAAGTTTTTAAAAATGCAAAACTATTTATTTATTAACCTGACATTATCAAGCGTTTAAATATAAATTCCATCATCAAATTACCAAGCGTTTGAGTACAGATTCCAACATAAAATTACAAAGCGTTGGAATACAAATTCCAAAAATACACTAATAAGCGCTCAAATACAGGTTGTCCAAAATGAAAAAAAAGTTATCTATCAAAATCTCTATTGCATAATGGAGTAAACATATGTGCTACTTAAAGACATTAGTATGACTCATTTTAATGAGATTGAAATAGTAAACGATATATAGTGTTGTGTGGACAACTAGGTTCAGCTTTGCTGGAAAGGGCATCACAAACCCTAGTTGCACTCCTGCACTCAGTATGTATATAAGACAATGGATCGATTTAATGATTTGCAAAGTTGGGAATATAACGTTTTCATTTTCGTTGATGTTACAAATATTACACTTTAAGGGGTACCGACCCTCTGATATGAGAGATAACTTTCCAAGTAAAAAATACGAATACTACTCACAGTTTTCATTATAAGAGTTTCATTATTGAGACCTTGGAGTAGTCAATTCGATCAAACCTGACATATAATGGAAACATTGTCTTCTACTTCTTTGCCTCTTCTTTTCAAATTGTTTTTTTTTTTTTATATTTAACAAAAAATATTTAAATTCCATAATAAAAGCCTTATAAATTGAATAAGTTCTATCTTTTTAAGGACAATTTTAAAAATGGTTTAATATTTCAAGTACCAAATGTAGAGTATTTATTTGTATGAAATTTTTTTTCAATGAAAAAAAATATTTATAAGAAAGATAACTCTTGCTTACATATGTATTTTTTTCTTACAAGTACATATAACATTGTGATATTCTGACTTAGGAAGCAGCGCTTTATTATGTTTCTAATATGAATTTAATAGGTATTATACTAAATATTATTTTCATATACACTTCATACTTTTAATTTTATGGTGTGGTACTAAATCATTACTCCTTCTATCCTCTGTGTTAAAATTTATTCATATCATGATCCGACATAAAAATCATTTCTGAAAAAATAAGCAGCGCTTCATACCTCATATTGTTTTCCATTTGAAGCTGATGCTATAGCTCTTAATGAAAATTAATGTTGGGAAGTTTAAAAAAAATGTGAAATTTAGAGCAGAGGGTCATTAGTCCTTAAGATAATTTATGTTGAATATTTAAGACGTCGGCTATCAATTCTATTCGAGCTACTCATCCCATTGAAGACTTCTGGAAAACAAACTCTAGTCGAGATGCTCCTTACCTGGTTTGGCGATATATAATGACGGAAGATGGTGTCAATAGAATCTACCCAGGAATACGGTTAACCAATGATTATGATCATAAACTTAGACCTTGGTAAGTAATGTAGATAAGTTCAAAAAGTCTTCACAGTACCTTTCCAAGTATTGTTGAAGAATTGTTCATACAATGATACATATATCTAGCATACAAACATAAACTCAAACTTTGGAGTATGAAATTAAATTAAACCAATCATAAAATAGAAATTAATTATTTTCAAATTAGAGGAAATTCATAAAACGACTTTCATATTTTTAGGTACCGCCGAACTGTGTCTCAGAAATTGCTTAATGTTGTGTCCGCTCCTTATGAAGATTCCTGGGGATCTGGAAAAGTTATCTCAATAACGAGGGCCATTTTGAACCGGTACATATCTCCAAAACAAGTCCTTTAAAGTAAAACAAAAGAAAAGTACCCTCTAGATGATATGGTGTAACTACATGTGACAGAAAATGGTGTTATAAAGTTCACATAGTTGACAAATTATATGTTGAAAGCTTCAGTTTGTGTTGTAGATTCATATTTGTTCGAATACTTGTAAGGGCTCCTTCCCGGGTTGGGTGCCGATTAGAGGGTCAAATGTGTTGCATGGCAAAACATTTTGCTGAAAAATGTAAAGCAGTGACTTTTAATATCCTTTTTAAAAGGCATTAACACATCAATTCAAACTGATGCGCATGCATAGTTCTGTAGTGTTTAAGTTTTTCAATATCACATTGTCAAAAACGGTCTTTAAAAAGGAACACAGAAACATAGAAAAAGTATTATGTTCATGAAAGAGAACATTATTTACTGAGGTTTGGATAAGAAAAAAATTTGACTTTCCAAACCCTTCGATTGAGGTGTCTTGAATATTTTTCCCATTTCTCCTGAGACAAACACTTTTCTTCTTACGTCACCTTCATCCCCTGTCGAATAATTTGATAATTAAAATTGAAATACATGTACAAATCCACTATATACAAAAAATATACTAAATACAAAAATGAGTAACGAATATGCCTATAATCCTGGAGGGTGTCCGGACCTATAGACCTTTTCTTATTCAATTCTACTTTGTTGTAGCGAAACAAACCATGCCAAAATAGAGGCGGTTATCGGGACAGACTTTTCCATTTTCTACTTTAACCAGCTGCTTAAAGATATTTATCCTGTATGTGCAAATACCACTTATTACAGGTAATAATTCTTTACCATTTATTACAGGTAATAATTCTTTACCACTTATTACAGGTAATAATTCTTTACCACTTATTACAGGTAATAATTCTTTCAATTCTTTGAGCTTTCCCAGATACATGTTACACCTTGTGTGATGCCTATCAATCATTTATTTCTGTTTGCAGTTCATATCATTTGGAGATTACGTCAGAGATAATGTTAGAGTGAATTCAGAATAATTATGTTTATTGACTCGTTTATGATTAAACACGATTTTTAAAAAAATTTGATGCTATGTCATGTAATTAATGTTTGACATTTCTGTATTCTTTTATTATGTTGTGTTTTAGCTGTATTGTGATAGACAACAGCGGATTCCTGGTTATGCATCCGTATTATATTGAAACAACGTCTCCAATAAAAGAATCTATCCATATCACCTACATGGTAATATTAGAATGCTATATTGCACTTAAATCAAACACAATATTATACAAAGAATCCTCTCATTTAAAATGTAAATTAACAAGTTTATTTAACTAAAAACAGAAGAGGGTAGCTCATTTACAACACAATGTACAGAACAAATCATGTTTATAAACTTTTAAATTGAATTAGGTTATATATGATTTTTAAGTTTGAATTCTTAACAGTACATTTCCAGTGATTTTGCTTTGTTTACAGGAGGGTAAGATATCGCGGTCGCTAATAGCAGCTGGTTTAATGTTCCGAGAGCCATGCAGAGACACAGAGAAGAAAAAGGAACAATTTACATATAGAGTACGCACACTCCAAAAAAAAGGAACAATTTATATACAGAGGACATACATTCCAATAAAGGAACAATTTACATACAGAGTACATACACTTCAAAAAGGGAACATTTATACACAGAGTACATACATTAGAAAAAAAAACAATTTATATACAAAGTACATGAATTCCAAAAATGGAACAATTTATATAGAGATCTAGAGTACCTAAATTCCAAAAAAGGAACAACTTACATACAGAGTATGCACATGTACACTCCAAAAAAGAACGATTTATAAAGAGTACATACATTCCAGAAAAGAGCAATTTACAGAGTACATACACTCCCATACATTAGGAAAAAAACAATTTATATACGAAGTACATAATTTCCAAAAATAGAACAATTTATATACAGATCTAGAGTACCTAAATTCCAAAAAAGGAACAATTTACATACAGAGCATGTACATGTACACTCCAAAAAAGAACGATTTATAAAGAGTACATACATTCCAGAAAAGAACAATTTACAGAGTATATACACTCCCAAAATGGAACAATTTATATAGAGAGTACGTACACTCCAAAAAAAGAACTATTTACACACAGAGTATGCATACTCTCAAAATAATTAACAATTTACATACATCGTACAAACACTCCAAAAAAGGAACAATTTACATGCTGAGTACGTACTCTCCAAAAAAGGAACATACAGAATAGGTACACTCCAAAAAAGGAACAATTTACTTGCAGAGTACGTACACTCCAGAAAAGAAACGATTTACATACAGAGTACACTCCAAAAAAGGAACAATTTACATGCAGAGTACGTACACTCCAAAAAAAGGAACAATTTACATTAAAAGTTTGTACACTTCATTCATGAATACCTGTAATCAGTAGTACAACATTGATTGCAAACATTGATATTCAAGCTTATAGTAAAATAATGAGTGATCTGCAACACACTATTAGGATTGTCCAAAAAATCTGTAGTTTCCCCCTCTAGTTTTTCTTTATTTATTTTTGATTTTTAGACTTTTAAGACTTTTAAGACTTAAATTCAAAATTTGTCCTTGCAATAAGATCTTTTCTTGTTTCAAATGAAACTCGCCAGCTCCTTTTCCGGAAGTCGAATAGTTTCTTCTGAAACGAGAAAAGATCTCCTTATTGCGAGAACAAATTTCAAAATGAAGTATGTAAATTGTACATCATCTTTTGTACAGGTCAGATTGCCACAGAGCCATCCGAATGGAATAGTCGATTCCATAGAGGGGTATGAAATGCGCCCAGTTAGTGGTTCAAACGTCTTTCTTGTTTTAAAACAAAGGGGACTTAAGGAGGAATCACCATGCTGTTCTGAATTGGTATTTCCTCTACACATCATTTACCATATGATCAAACCAGTTTTTTGTGTTTTCTGAAAAAAAGATCTAATGACTGGAAAGAGAGATAATTTCCACCTAAAATATAATTCAAAACTATCCGACACTTTATTTCATTAGGTGATCCTTATTTAGTCAAATATTTCTTTGTTGTAAGACAGACAAATCACATGGCGCAAACATTAAATTGTATTTCCTTTTGCTAATATTTTACTTTTTTGCACCCATTTTTTTACCACTTAAAAATTGGAATATTTCTGTCTTTTCATATAAAATTCAAACTTTATCAACTATCATATGCAGCATTTTTATGATTATCGAATATTATTTCCCTGCAAAAGGGAAAAAATAGAAAACTCTTGCTGATGGACGCACTTTATTTTACAAGTATAGATAACAACGTGATATTACGTCTCAAAAAGCATCGCTTCGTTATGTTTTTCTAATAAATTTATTATGTATTACACTAAATATTATTTTCAGATATACCTCATATTTTTGCTTTATGTTATGAATATAATTTTTTCCCTTGTTATAACTGTGTCAAATTTTCTCCATATCTGATGAAACATAAAATGATTTTTCTATAAAAAAAATTAATGCTCGCATCATGTTCCATTTCTTTTCCCATTTGAAAATAATGCATCGTTGTTGATGGAAATCAATTTTGGGAATTTTGTATTTTGTAAGATAAAATTTAGAATAGAGGGCATTACACATTAATATTTGATCAATTATATAAATAGAAAGGATATCACTTTCTAGAGTTCCGAACCCCCCAGCAGAGTGCAATGCGGAGCAGGACAATGTACTTGCCTTTGCTTCAAGAGCCTGGATTTTAACGACTGTGAAAATAAATATACAAACCTGTAAGTAAACTTTCCTGTCTACAATAGCTGAACTATGTCATGACAACAACCCCTTGTTTACTGCCCTGAAATTTCACGGACATTAAATGAAATTATTTGAACATTTTTTAAGTTTTATATTTTATTTTATTTTATTTTATTTTATTTATTTATTTTATTTTATTTTATTTTTTTTGGATTCAGGGATGAGAATGTTCCTTGTAATCCTAAATTACCAATTCTTGGTTCTGTCAGTCCACCTGAGGAAGATAGAACTAGATATCTAGATACCTGCTTTCCAACAAGCTGTCCTTGTCGAAAAACAGAAAGGCAAGTTATTTGAAAGTAGTACACAGCGAAGGTCAAATTAACATAAACTCAAATAATTAAAGCTATCTTTAATTTTTAAAGATATCGTCAATTCATTTGATGCGCGAAAATATTCAGTTGAAGATCTCTTTAAACTTTAACAATTAATGATATATTCGGTTCTTATTTCTTGCGCGCATTATTCATTTGTTGGTATCATTGCGCGCATTATTCATTTGTTGGTATCATTAATTTGTTAAAGTGATATCAGCAACAATTGAAATCATGAGAGCAATACTTGATTTGATGTGCGCTTCAATTGAATTTTTGTGAGCAATAATTGATTTAATACTTAATAAGTACTGCTCTTATCAATTCAATTGATGCGCGCATCAATTGAGTTAATGCGCACAAAAATTAAAATATTTCTATATTCAACTGATTTAATGATATCATTAGTTCAATAAATGAGCGCAGGTAAAAATTTTTTAAAGAGAGAAACAATTTAACATATTCAATTCAACATATCAATAATTTATGTAATCATCTCTTAAATTGAATTATTGCTCTCTTTAAAATAATTCCCTCCTCTAGCAAAGTATTAGTAAAAAAGGTAAAGATATTTTCAATTAGATGAAAGAGAAGAAGAAATCATACATACCGAGGTCTATATTGCGCGAAAATTAAATCCATCAATGTCTGCGTCATATTGTTAAGCAGAGTAATTGAATTGATGAGAGCGATAATTCAGTTGATGCATGCATCCATTCATTTTATTAGAACAATTTGATTTGATGCGCCCATCGATCCGATTATTGCGAACAATAATTGAATTAATGATATTTTCAAAGAATTAATTATTCTTTATGTTAGTTTGTAGTTTGTAAATTCCTTTCGGGAAAATAAATTTATGGAATAAATTATGGAATGTGTTCGTTAATCAAATATTGAATTATTATTTTTTGAAAGATGTAGTCTCAAAACTGCAGTTCTGTGTGCAAACAAATTGAGTAGTGCATTATGAAAATTTGTTTACAAACACCGTTGAAGTTATGAGACTACGTCTTTAAAAAATAAAATATTCAGTGCTTATATTTACATTTTTTAAATCGTTGCCTCATCTGCAAATATGATTTACATTTCAAAATTCCTGTAGTATCCTTTGAGTAAGTTACAATTAATGGAAGAACCATTCCCATAGCTACTACCGTTAAATTTTTCAACGTGAGCGTAATTTTGATTAGGGCTTGCACGGCGTTCAGAGTTTGTTATGTCAAAAAACCCCTAACTTTTGATTTCCCCATCTGTATTATGGTGTATTGAATGCCGAAGTTTTTTTTACACATTTTATTAGCAAAATACATATGGGAAATAGATATTGCTGATTTAACAATTGCAAACTTGAGTTTTACCTGCTAAGCGATAGCGGAGTTGGAAGTTTTACAGTCACAAAAAACAAATGAGAAATTATTCCCATTCTATAGCAATTTTTACATTTTGTTTGAGTTTTACGTCTTGTGTCATTGAGTTTTGTTACATGAAATACGTCATGAAACATTGTGTTTTTGAATCGTTTTATCATTATGTCACAAGCAAAAGCCAATCAAAATGCTGATTACAAAACAGACACATTTGAATACTAGTAGTATGTTATGTGATATGTAATCTTATTCTATACACCTGTATATATTTTATATATTTTATAGTGAGTGCTTTCGTACATCTGGCTGTTCATGGTGTACAAGTACGAAGGAGGGAAAATTGTTTGATTTGATTGGAGGATTTTGCGATTTGAAGGAATCTTGTCCTAACCAAATGTGCGTCGAAAAAGGTAAAAACATACAGAATATTGTTTTGACATTTTTATGTCTGTTTAAACTTTGTCACAATAACACAAAAATAACATTAAGAGTTTAAACTCATTTTGGAAGATAAGGTAGTTAGAAACAACAAACAATTATATGTAGCCTAACAAATTCAGATAATTTAATTATCACAGGTGTACAATGGAGTTGAACATTGAAAAGAAACTGTATATTGTTTGCCATTGTACTTATTTTATTTGGCTTCGAATATGTTATCAAAAAAGACTCTCTATTAGATTGCAGTTCTAAATGTTGCAATGCAGAGTGTGACTCAAAGGAAAGTAATTCATTGGTGGAAATAGTTGCTCCTACTGTATCCGTAGTGGTCATTATTATCGTCGTCATTGTCGTCGCCATCATCGTCTTCTTCGTTATACGAAAAGGACGATCTCAAACAGATGACACATACTTTGACCCTGTTCATACTGGGTCCGACTTTTCCAGTAGCCAGTTTGACTACAATGCCGCTACTGATTACGTCACAATACCTGAACTACCTGAACTAAGTGCTCGTGCAGAAGAAAATTTAAAAATAAAAGATGGCAAAGAATAAAGGAGTGGGTGAGAAAAAATTATGAATATCATACAATATCGTATCTTATCATCTGGTTGAGAACCATTCTTATGAGTATGGAGAAGATACCTGGTATACATGTATTTGATACATAATGGTATCTCAGTGTGATGAGCGTGTAATATTTTGGTAGCTCTTTTATTGAAGTTTATGCCTTGGAGATACTGTTTAACATCATTTTTTTTTTATCAAAAACGATAGGATCGTAAAATTGAATCTTCCTTGTGGTCCTAGGTTTTGATCTGTTCATCTCTTTTCTCTACCATATTATCGGCTTCAGAACACGTTTAAGATTTTATATATATATATATATATATATATATATATATATATATATATATATATATATATATATATATATATATATATATATATATACTGTATATATTCCATATCTTCCTTTTTACCATCAGCTTCAGATATTCACCCCCTTATACAGTGGAAAGCTCATAGGATATCATTTTCGTATCCACACTTTATATCCCTACGGCGCGTGGAGTAATGTAAATTAACAAATACATGTGCATGATGGTAAAGAAGTATTCCCAATAATTCAATTGTAGAAATTGATGGATGTGGTACAGGTTTGATAAAATGGTAATCTTCCAAATTCGCAAATGATGAATTGATTTATGAAGTTGAGATTGAGATAACAGATCTGACTCTGTCATTTCCAAGTAAAGGGAAGCCTGTCTCACAGCACCCGATGCCTGAATTGCGTTTTGAATAAGTAGAAGAAACCGATATTGATTAATACCTCAACGACCAAGAAAACAAAAACACGTGGAAAAAACATCTGCTGATATGAATTAACTGAAATCGTTTCTTGAAACTCAAAATGAGAACCGACCAATAGAAACAATTCCTCCCTCAGATTTGAATTTGAATAATGTAATTTTTTTGAGTGTCCGAAAGCTAGATGGTTCTTATGAACCAAATACAATTTGATCATTCACGGGTAGCTATGATTGACATTTACGCAAAATGAAGTATGGATGTCAGATTGATTCAAGCATTGAATTTGTTAAAGTGCGTGAAGTTCTCCAGGCAAAACAGCAGCGTTGTCTCAAAAGCAAAGGTAAAGGAAATCAATCAAAAAAAGGCAGACCCTTTATAAATAAACTATGGGAATGTGGTCTGTTAGGTGTATTAAGTCCTCAGAATATATTAAACTCATGTTGGCTATTCAATTTTGTTTCGGACAGAGATATTCAAATGAACATAGATCCATGTCGTAGGGAGACATAATCCAAGAGGTGTTCGAGTTGTCAAACCCAAAATGTGGGCAAATACTGATGCGCCGGATCGATGTTGCTATTTACAAATTATATTCAGAAAAGAGGCCCAATTATTTTTCAAAACCTGATGACCCATTTTATTTAGCCACACATACTCACAATGCAACACGCAATGTCAGTTCCTGACTAATGGTTTAAAAGACAGCCAACGTTGGCGTTAATAAATTATCATCATTAATGAAGAGAATGGCAAATGCAGTTTGTATTGGTGGAGACAAAAAATTCGATCAATAACCACAGCGCTCGAAAATATTTAGTACAAAAATTAAGCACAGACTATGAATCAAATCATACAAATAACTTGCCATAGCAAAAACAACATATCCCCGAATCATACAAATAACTGGCCATAAAAACATCCAGTCCATTAATAATTAGAGCAGAATCAATAATAATCGAAACAAAAGTATTTCTGGTATCCTTTCGAACTCAGTACCTCCCCTAATCAACCCTGGATCCACCGCATTTACAATTCAATCACAAATACTGCTGTATGGATACAAACACATCAAACACTGGAAGTTCGACGATTGTTGATGTCATAGGAGGCACTCAAAACTTCTAGAATGGAGACGAAAATTCATGGCGGGAAAATTATTGTAAATATACAAGAATGCTCAAACACAACGCCTCGGAAAAGCCGTGTGTCATCTATGGCACAGACTCGTATGACTATCGTTAATTATAATCGTGAATATCTTAATTTGTCAAATTTCTGATTATTGCATACCAAATGCTCATTCATGATTTAAAAAGAAAAACTGCTAAAATACATTCTTTCTTTTATTTCTGTACAAACTATTTCTAACAGCGTAATATTATCTACACATTAATAATGTTATTTTCCCCGAGGTAACCTCTTTTTATTGGAAAAAAAAATATTAAACGGATTGTTATTGAAAAAAATATGTGATAAAAAGAATCTCCCGCCGTGTGTGGTTGGATATGATTCTTAGCCATCCATAAACCATGGGATATCAAACCTCGTTATCTCGAACTCGAAGGGACCGAGAGAAAACTTCAAGATATCCGAGGATTCGAGGGTAAAAATACTTAAAGAATAAGTAGTTGGGACATGTAAATCACTTCGACATATCCATGGTATTCGAGATATCAGTGTTCGATATAACGAACTTCAACTGTGACGTATATATATATATATATATATATATATATATATATATATATATATATATATATATATATATATATATATATATATATATATATATATATATATATATATATATATATATTTATGTATGTATGTATATAAAATCATCTCTTTTTTGTAACTTAAGAAATAACATATACATATATATAACATATACATGTTTTAAAAGTCGATAACATATTCCTCTAACAGAAATGACATTTAACATGTATGTTTATTCTGATGACGTACTACTTCAGTTTGACATATTACCGTCAAGTGAATAGAAGCCTTATTTATTTAGCCTCTGATTATTTTATTCTCTACGCTTGTTTATTCAATATTTTTTTATTATAATAATGTATGATTCAGACTATGTAGATAATTATATTGCAATGCTTAAATAAAATTGTTCATTTTTCTCTCAACGATTGTTGGAAAAAAATTAGAATATGAATAATAATGATTTATGTTCACAATTACGTCATCATTAGACAGCAAATTATTTTTTTTTCAACGAAAAATGTACGCCTTATCTTAAATTAACAAATATGTTGGTATTTTCAACTGAATTAAAATGTTAATTTTTTCTTATACTACATGTATTTATTGTATTTTTGTTTGATTTTGATTAAAATGATCAGGCAAAATCTTTGGATATAAATATATTGAAAGGAAAAAGAAACGCAGGGTGACATAATGTGAGAGAAAAAATGTGACTGCATGGCCGAAAATTAAGAAAACTGATTAGACGGGTATAGTATTGTTTATTACCAAGAACCATACATAGGTTTAAAATATATACATAAATCACAAATACAAATCAAAATACTAGTATATATAATTATTTCATTTTCATGTTTACATTAGTTAAAGCAGGACCATAGTAAAGACTATGACTATGTACTATTCATTCCTATTTCATAAAGCTGACAAAAGCACCATAATATAAATTTGATAAATCAATGTGAATTAAACTTCTGCTTTTATCTTGTACATTTATAAAGATATTTTCTTAGTTTACATGAGTCTGTTACATTTTTTGTCGACAACAATTAAACAAGTTTAATGGTAGAGGGGTTTTTTGTGGTAATATTTATTTATTTACTTTTTTCTAACATTGGAAGAATATAGACAAACCAGAATAAAATGATACTCGTTTTTAACCTGTTACAATGAATAAAATTTGCACCATCTTTCATTCCTAGGAACATTAAAAAAAATCTTCCTCGTTCTATCTCTAGTTGATGAGAAGATAGACGATATTGACTGACATGTTGTACATACATCTGTGGTATTGATTTTGTTAAATATACACGTAGTTGTAAATTAAATCTATCGCTTAAATACTTATACAAAATACACTTTGGGGAAGCTTCAAAATTGCATTGTGCTTTTAGTATGAACATATCATCTAAACTTTGTTTCACCTCAAGCAAAAAAAAAAAAAAGATTTTCATTCAAATAGTTTTTACACTTCCATATATAACCAAAGCCTAAAGTATCAACAAGTTCTTTTATATGTGACAGCCAACAAGGAAAAGTGCTTGATTCACATACATCTAGCATGAAATATATGGAGATAACGAACAGTATTCAAGCTCAAAAGTCCATTAAACAATACAAAATAGGAGCAGAGCAAACACGGACCTCCAAACATCAGAGGTGGGATCAGGTGCCATGGAGGAGTGAGCATCCCCTGCCTACCGGTCACACCCGCCGTGTGCTCCTTGTCATGATCGGGAAATAACGGAAAAATCCGTCGACAATTCAGTGTGTAAATAATGGCCTAACAATTAGTATGAAAAACGTCAGTCAGCATTTGACTCAATGATAAATTGTATTTGCTGAAAAGGTCATTGTATCGACCATAGAACTTACGAAATGATGACTTTAAACGAGACTGCTGATATTCTTGTTTCATCAACTTGTTTGTCAATAACTTACCTCGTTTTAGAAATTGTACATACGTAGAGCATGCTCTTGCGTATCGAATCAACTGAGAGATATATACCCCGTATGCAGTTGATGAAGGTACATTACTGCATGAGTAAGGGAAGTTGACGATTGAAAAGTTAAAAGTCAACACGTTTATCATAAAGCTTGGTTGTTAGATTACCATTAACGTCTTTTTCAAGTAAAATATCCGAAAAAATGAAATAGATGTGTCAGAATATGGGGTATCTTTTATCTCAAGCTCAGCGGGATATATCGTGTCGACATAAGTATGGAAATAGCCATTGTTAATTGACAATACGTCGTCGATGTATCTTAATGTTGAGTTGAAGGCCACAGCAAGTGTTTTCTTCTTTTCACGTACAAGATTTTGGACAAATTCTGCTTCATATGAATACAAAAAAAGGTCTGCTAATAACGGGGCGGAATTGATACCCATGGGAATTCCAATAGATTGTTGGAAGACCTGGTCTCCAAAAACCACATATATTTTGTCAACCAGAAACTCAAGCAGCTTTTTAATGTCAACTTCTGAGTACCTGTGTGTACAATCTGAATGTTTTTTAACAAAATAATTTTGCAAATGACCAATGACAAGGTAAGTAAATTTACAAGTTCCATTTTTATTGAAAAAGCAGCTGTCAATGATATCAAAAGGCCTTGACTTTAATTTATCGTGGGGAATGGTTGTGTATAAAATTGAAAAGTTTCTCCTTCACTACTGTTAATATCTTAGTGAGGAGTAAGGAAAGAGGCTTGGTTGAACATTTACTGGAACCCGCTATG